CAACCAATTTGTCGGCGTTTCCCCAGTTGTACTGCCCTTTGATGGCCTCCAGAGACCCCCATTTCATCTCATTCTCGGGTGTCATGCAATTGAACTCCTGGCCCAGTATTTCCAGGTATTTCTGGTCACTGAGGGCACCGGACGTAAACGCTGATCCGATGTACTTCTGTTTGGCGTGATCTCGGAGGTGACTCTCGCTCGAGCTGCCGGTGCCCAACATATTCATGAAAAATAAGATTTAATATCAAAAAATATAAGTTATGTAAAAATATTTGTGAAATACTTACACAATAAGTACCGCGAATAAACTGATTGACGTGGACAGCATTTTCATGTGCTTTATATTAATATAATATACAGTTTATAAAAAAAAAGTTAAATTTCTAAAACAATTAGTTAATGAATTGACACAAGTATTAATTGAGCATTTTATGACAGTATGTTTTAATAATTTCTCAGATACTAATTACAATATGCTTGTTAAATATCTCAACAACACATTTATATAACAAAATATAGACGGAATATATCTAAAATATATTTGATAACATTGACTATACTTTTTAATAATCATAATTAAATAATAAGTATACTTAGCCTTTGACTTAATTGACTTTCTATATCAGTATATTATTATTATCATAGACTGTACAGAAAAATACCCAACTCATAATTGTTTGACGTTTTTAAACAATATTTTTTATATAAATTGATGAATTAATTGTTATAATGATAAATAGATATCATTTATTTTATACTATTAAGTTGCATTAAAATAATCTGAACACAATGTATACTGTATTCATGCACACTGATCTAGGTTAGTTGGAAACAGATAATAACACACAATAAGGGTTAAATATACCTGGTGATCGGGTCAAGTGTTAGTTTGTGTCTACTTAAAAGTATCGATTACAAACAGTTTTATTAAATTAATATGTTTACATGTTATTTAGGTATATGAGTACTTTAAATTGATTAGATTTACTAAAGTGGTATTACTTTCAATAATAAACACTACTGTAGAGCAATATGACTGAACAAATAAAATTTCTATTGCCAACCAATTATTAGACATTATATAGACTCTAATAATGGCATTTTAATTAATATACTCTATAATTATTAATTAAAAAAATATTTATTAGTGTTGTAATAAATGCACATTTATTTCAAAACTTTATCCACGGCCTCAACATCGGGTTTGGGCTTAAAATCCTTTGTCCACAGCTGCTGTTCCCCATAACCCTTGTCGAAGAAAAACGTGTATTTATCGGTAAACCCCCAAACGGTAACCCCGACACACCTGTCCACATTCTCACAGGCGCTGAAAGCATGGCTATAATCCTGGGCCTGGTTGGCAATCTTATCAGCTGAGGCAGGCATCAGATACCTAACCTGAAGCTCAGTAATAGCCACATCCACTCCCAAATCGGAAAATCGTTTAATGTTTTCCTGAAGGGTTGAGGGAACACTACCCTCCCTGAAGTGCGCCTGCATACCGACCCCATGAACGGGAACTCCCTTAGCCTTCCACTCCTTCACCAACTCGTATAAGGCGTCCGACTTCTTGTTCTTGGCTTCGATGCCGTAGTCATTGATGTATAGCTTGGCGTTAGGGTCGGTCGCGTGTGCCGTATGGAAGGCCTCCTCAACAAAACTAGAGCCCAGAGTTCGCGAGAATATGCTGTCCCTTAGCTTATTGCCCTACCCGTCCTCATTGAGCACCTCATTGACGACTTCCCACGCGTAGATCTTACCTATGATTTAAAAACATTAATTATTATGGTTTGCAGTATTAGAACCTATTTTTAGTAAAATGTTTATTTATTATAATAGAGATTATCATAAAAATTTAAACATCATTATTTAATCAAAAAATAAAGTATTAATAAAATATATTACTGGTAACCTAATATAATTTTCATTAACTATTTCCATTAGTGAAATAGAAATAAACTAGTAAATATGAAAATTTAATAAATTTCGAAAACGGTATATCTGTAGTGGGAATATGAAATCAACACATTGGGATATTCATTATAATACTACGTGCTATAGTCATAAAGCTTTAAAATGTTAAACATACTGTATTATTTTCAACATTAAATCATATATTTGTATGACTAAACAAGCAACATTTTAAAGCTTTATGACTATAGCACGTAGTAT